ATGAAGAGCGCCCGCTGCACTTCCTGCACATGTGCGGATCCTTGCGCGTTTTGAGGCTGGAAGCGCTCGTTCTTAGCGTTTTTCTTCCACCGGGTCACGTCGCTGCGCTTGTCTAGGCCTAATGCCAAGCCAGCAAGGGCGTGGGAGGGTTACGAGCATCATTGGTCATCGGCGCTCGCGAATGAAGAGCGCCCGCTGCACATCCTCCACATGTGCGGATCCTTGTGCGTTTTGAGGTTGGAAGCGCTCGTTTCAAGCGTTTCTTCCACCGGGTCACGTGGCTGCGCTTTTCTGGGCCTATTGCCAAGCTAGCAAGGGCGTGGGAGGGTTGCGAGCATCATTGGTCATTGGCGCTCGCGAATGAAGAGCGCCCGTTGCACTTCCTACACATGTGCGGATCCCTTCCGCGTTTTGAGGCTAGAAACGCTCGTTCCGAGCGTTTTTCTTCCACCGGGTCACCTGGCTGCGCTTGTCTGGGCCTATTGCCAAGCCAGCAAAGGCGTGGGGGTTGCGAGCATCATTGGTCATCGGCGCTCGCGAATGAAGAGCGCCCGCTGCACTTCCTGCACATGTGCGGATCCTTGCGCGTTTTGAGGCTAGAAGCGCTCGTTCCGAGCGTTTTTCTTTCATCGGGTCACGTGGCTGCGCTTGTCTATGCCTATTGCAAAGCCAGCAATGGCGTGGGAGGGTTGCGAGCATCATTGATCATCGGCGCTGGCGAATGAAGAGCGTCCGCTGCACTTCCTGCACATGTGCGGATCCTTGCGCGTTTTCAGGCTGGAAGCGGTCGTTCTGAGCGTTTTTCTTCCAACGGCTCACGTCGCTGCGCTTGTCTGGGCCTATTGCCAAGCCAGCAAGGGCGTCGGAGGTTTGCGAGCATCATTGGTCATCGCGCTAGCGAATGAAGAGCGCCCGCTGCACATCCTCCACATGTGCGGATCCTTGCGCGTTTTGAGGCTGGAAGCGCTCGTTCCGAGCATTTTTTTCTTCCCCGGGTCACGTGGCTGTGCTTGTGTGGGCCTACTGCCAAGCCAGCAAGGGCGTGAGAGGGTTGCGAGCATTATTGGTCATCGGCGCTCGCGAATGAAGAGCGACCGCTGCACATCCTGCACATGTGCGGATCCCTGCCGCGTTTTGAGGCTAGAAGCGCTCGTTCCGAGCGTTTTTTCTTCCACCGAGTCCACGTCGCTGCGCTTGTGTGGGCCTATTGCCAAGCCAGCAAGGGCGTGGGACGGTTGCGAACATCATTGGTCATCGGCGCTCGCGAATGAAGAGCGCCCGCTGCACTTCCTCCACATGTGCGGATCCTTGCGTGTTTTGAGGCTGGAAGCGCTCGTTCCGAGCATTTTTCTTCCACCGTGTCATGTGGCTGCGCTTGTCTGGGCCTATTGCCAAGCCAGCAAGGGCGTGGGAGGGTTGCGAGCATCATTGGTCATCGCCGCTCGCGAATGAAGAGCGCCCTCTGCACATGTCGGATCCTTGCGCGTTTTGAGGCTAGAAGCGCTCGTTCCGAGCGTTTTTCTTCCACGGGGTCACGTGGCTGCACTTGTCTGGGCTATTGTCAAGCCAGCAAAGGCGTGGGAGGGTTGCGAGCATCATTGGTCATCGGCACTCGCGAATGAAGAGCGCCCGCTGCACTTCCTCCACATGCGCAGATCCTTGCGCGTTTTGAGGCTGGAAGCGCTCGTTTCGAGCGTTTTTCTTCCGTCGGGTCGAGTGGTTGCGCTTGTCTGGGCCTATTACCAAGCCAACAAGGGCGTGGGAGGGTTGCGAGCATCATCGGTCATCGGCGCTCGCGAATGAAGAGCGCCCGCTACACGTCCTGCACATGTGCGGATCCTTCCGCGTTTTGGGGGTGGAAGCGCTTGTTCCGAGCGATTTCCTCCCGCAGGGTCACGTGGCTGCGCTTGTCTGGGCCTATTACACCCTCTTTCTCTCGCCGAACTGACAATGGGAAGCACTGGCTACAGTGCGTACTGTTGCTTGGACCCTAGCGATCTGGTGCTTGCAACCGACCCCAGGTAGGTGGCAGGCAAATGCACTCCAGTAGAACGGTACACAACGGTATATAGAATAAAACTTGCCTTTTGCGTACGGTTGAGTGCGGGGAAATGTGCATATATGGGATGTTCTTGGATCATTCTGGACGCATTGATGTCAGTAGAGCCGGTCCGTCGATATGGCCAATGAGAGTGTGGCTTGAAAGAGGGTGAACCAAGCCACCAAGGGCGTGAATGAATCTCTTTAGGGGGCACACTTTATGCACCTATCGCATCTATCTCCAAACAGAGTTCGTTCTCGAATTTCGATATGGTCACCTGGTTCCCGCGTTCGCACCGAAAGCTCGCCAGAAAACCTTGGGGGCCAACATCACTGGCATGCAACATAGTATGGTAACCCTATGCAATGGTAACCGTCGATACCTCGGTTTTGGAGTTATTTACATATTGCGCTAGTATCTAGGCTCTTTTGAATGGACACACTGATTTTACCGCGCTCATCTTTCCGCTAAATTTCGATTTATTCGGACAACTGTTCTGCCATATGAGCAACACTGTTCACTTCTTTTGACAGAAAAAAATAAAACCCAATCGGAAAGGGATGCACTCGGGGAGGCATCAACCCTAAAAACAATGCCCTTTCCCGTTTTAGGGTTGATCCCTCCCTGAAATAAGTCCAGGTCCCTAGGGGTTTATTTTTTTCCTGCCTGCACTAGCAGTAGCCGGTAGCAGTATATTGGGTGGAATATATTGTTACGAAAAAGATTCTAACGGAGCGCGTTAAAAAACAAATGAAACGAAATCGTAAACGCATTCGGTTGTTGCACCCATTGCACCCTTTTGTGCTGCGTCAGCTGTTACACAGTGTTTTGAGTGGCGCTACCGGACAAATTTGCGAAGCAGAACTGGGTATCGACGGTTTTGCATACCATCGAATAGGGTTACCAGACTAATTTGCATGTCTATGATGTTGGCCCAAACCTTGGGAACAGCACCACTCAGACTTCCTCCTGCCAGGCTCCAGAAGAGCCACACTCGGAACTTGGGAACACCGCCCTTGGGAGCTCCGACTTCTGAGCCCAAAGTTCCATGCCTCCGCACCACACGCCTCCTCATCAGGCCTTCCTTTGTCTTCTAAGCACGCACTTTCGTTCAACACCCTGCCATGTCGTCAGCACCTCGTAGCACGACTTCCACATTGGGACCCTCCATGTCGTTCCCGTGACATTCACGTGCCTTGACCCTTTCCAAGCCATAAGCTCCGCTTTTTGTGTAGATTCCTCGCTCGGGAGAACGACGCGCTTTTCCATTCCTATCTGCAAGCCCACCGTGCAGACCCTGGTTAAGTATTGCAGACTAATATCCCTCTGGAGTAGTTAAGACTCTGCATTTGAACCGGAGATATTTGAGACTGTTTCTGGTACCCCCCGTTGGCACGATGAGCAAGAAGGGTGATGAGAAGCACGAGAAGATTATCCGCGGGCTGATGAAGCTGCCGGAAAATAAAAAGTGCATAAACTGCAACAATCCGGTAATGCATTTCACCAAGATTTAACTCCCATCGCCAGCTATGCTTCTATAAGTCATGACGAGCGGGGAACAGGGTAGATCTGTTTTTTTCAGCGAAAAGCGTTTGCTTTATCAGTACGACGTTCGTGTTTTAGGTTCGTCAGAAGCTAGACGGGATGCGTTGGGCCACTTCCTTTTAAGCCCCTACGGCGAATGCGTTGTCGTCTCTAGGATATCATAGATTGTAGTCTACGCTTCCCCGCGTTAAGCGTTAATCCTTTGCGGGCTGTGCGATCACAAATTCGTACTTTCTTTGGATCCAATCTTTGCAACATGTCCAGTCTTTTTGCGATCAGTGTATTCTACTTCATATGGATCGTTATTGGCCGTACGATATCCGTGTGTCCGTACGATATCATTGTTTTACCTACCCCGATTACCGCAGGGCCCTCAATATGTGTGCACGAATTTCGCAACGTTCGTCTGCGTCGCGTGCAGCGGAATCCAGTGAGTCTGCCTTCCCCTTCTTCGCCAACCTTCCCGTCGCGCCGTTCATCTTCACTCCACATATCCCTCCTTTCCCGCCTTCACCCTTTCGTGACTTTAAAGTCTACTCATAAGTCACCTCGATACAGTGACACACTTCACTGAGTTCTTCGTTCCAGTCTTGTGCGAGCGCGTTGCGCTGAGCCCATTTCCATGGCCCGATATACATCACCACACTACAGTTTACAAACTGCATCTGAATTTTATTCGACAATCTACACTACCGCCCCTCTTCCCCCTCCTTCCCTTGCCCGTTTCCAGCCGCGAGTACACGCATCGCCTCAAGTCCGTGTCAATGGCCAAGTTCACCCCTGAGGAGGTGGCAGCGCTGCAGCAAGGCGGCAACCAGGTGAGGGGTTGCTGGAGGAGCTGGCAACCAATAAATTTTTAAACCATGCTGGTTGAATAACCGAATATTTGTTATCCAGATGCTACTGCGATGCGATTAACCATGTTAGTTCAAGTCCATTCTCATGGCCGACCCCAAACGAACGACGAGTTTGAACCTACTTCGTCCGTACTGTCTGCGTCACGTCGACTGCGTGCCTCCGTGTGTCACCTGCGTGCCTCCGTATATGTGCGTGTGATCAGAAAGCGCGGGAGTTTTTCCTCGCGAATGCCAGCAGGGTGGAGCCTCCAGATCCCAAGTGAGTCCGCCTGTTGCCCTTCCCATCCCCTTACTCTTCCTCCTTGCTGCTCTTTGCTGCTCTTGTCTGCTTTTTCTCTCCCGCTAGATTTTAACCCTTCCACTTCTCCCACTACTACCCGTTTCCTTTCTCAGCGACCCAAATCGGCTGAGGGAGTTCGTGCGATCAGTCTACGTGGAGAGGCGATACGTGGCCAGCAGAGACCCGAACGCTGCTGCTGCACCCACCTGCGCGCGCGCAGCCCTCTTCCCCCTCCCCTTCCGCCGACCTCCCCCCAGCCTCCGCCTCCTCCCCGCAGCCCGTCTCCTCGTCCCAGCACAACGATCACAGCCGTTTATCTTCGGACTCCAGAGCCATGCGGGCTTCTGCGGATGGGTACGGTGGTGCGAGTGGGGCGAGCAGAGGGCCGGGTAGAAGCGCGGGGTATGGGAGTGATAGGCAGCCGCAGCAGCAGCAGCAGCAGCAGCAGCCGCCGCAGGAGGAGAAGCGGAGGCACAAGGGCGGGTTGTCGTCGTTTCTGGGGTTCAAATCCCGCGGCAGCAGCAGCAGTAGCAGCAACAGTGGCGGTGGTGGCAGCAGTGGCGGTGGCGGCAGCGGGAGTGGCGGGGCGGCAGGCAGTAGGCATAGCAGCAGCGCCGGGGGCAGTAGGGAGAGACGGGAGGACTCGCTGAAAGGAGAGCATCGGAGCGACGGCCAAGGAGGACGGTCGTCGTCCCCGTCTGGTTCCAACAACAGCGATAAATCCAGCAGAAGCAGCGACAGGGAGAGAGACAGGGAGAGGGAGAGGGAGAGGGAAAGGGAGAGGCATGGGCATGGCGTGAGGAAGAGCGGGAGTAGTAGCGGCAGTGCAGGGGGGCAGTCTAGACCCAGCGGGGGCAGCGGGGGAGGGGGGGGAAGCAGAGGGGGAGGAGGAGGGGGGCAGGGCGTGCAGGCGGTGAGTGTGCCTGTGAGTCAGGTGCTGGGGCGAGATGTGGAGGAACTGAAGGTGTATGCAGAAGGGGAGGAAGGGCGGTGGGGAATGGCGTGAATGGGGGGCATGCGGGACGGGGAGAGGAGCAGGGAGGAGCGCCTGGAAGCCCTGGCTCCATTGCTTCCTCTGTGAGTTGCCTGAGCAAGCTTCTCCCTCACCCCTCCTGGTACGATTTTTGAGACCCCTCAAAAAGCGCCCCAAAAATCGTCTATTGAGGCGCCTCAAAAAGAGGAGCAGGGAGGAGCGCCTGGAAGCCCTGGGTCCATTGCTTCCTCTGTGAGTTGCCTGAGCACGCTTCTCCCTCACCCTGCTGTTCAGTTTTAAGGCGCCTCAAAACTAGACGCCTGGAAGCCCTGGGTCCAGGAGTCGTGCTGACATGGCCTGGCCTCCGTTGTTTTCTCTGTGAGTTGCCTGAGTGCATTCTTGAGGTGCCTATAAATTAGAGCCCTGGTTCCAGGGGTCATGCTGATGCAGCCTCCACTGCTTCCTCTGTGAGTTGTCTGAGCACGCTTCTCTGTCGCCTCTCCTGGTCATTGTCTCTTACTTTCTCTTCCTTTCTCTCTCACAGGCACACGCATGCACGCACGCTCTCGCACACACGCACTCCCTACCCCTCTCCCTGCCCTTGCCCCTACCCCTATCCCCACCACCAGGCGGCATCTCGAAAGGCAGCAGACGCCCACCCGCCAACGCCCGAGAGCAAGCTCAACCCTTCCACCAGCGCCGCCCCCCCCAGTGCCGCCGTCACCACGGCCAGCCTCATAGACTTCTCTTTTGACGATCCCACCCCTGCACCGCTCACTGCGGGCGCATCTGCTGCACCAACAGCAGCAGCAGCAGCAGCAGTAGCAGCAGCAGACCCCTTTGGGCTGGCAGATCTGCTCGCACCTGCCCCTGTTGCCGCTGATCCCACCCAAGGCATGGGCGCTGCAGGTATGGGAGGGTTGGACTCTGCAGGTATGGGCGGTGCTGCGGCCGGGCCTCCGTACGGGGCTCAATTCCCCAGGGGCGCTCAGCTGTTTGGGGGTCAGCCCTTTGGGGGCGAGCCGCTGCCAGGGCAGCAGTTCGGGGCAGCGCCGGCGCCGCCTGTGGGAGGCCAGGCGTTTGGGGGCGGTCAGCCTGGGACAGCTGGAGGACAGGCGTTTGCAGGGCAGCAGTTTGGAGGGCAGCCGTTCGGAGGGCAGGCGTTTGGAGGGCAGCAATTCGAGGGGCAGCATTTTGAAGGGCAACAGTTTGGCACGGTTCAGCCTGGTGGTGTGGAGTTTGGTGCGGTGCAGAACGCTGGTGTGGGTTTGGTTTCAGATCAGCAGGGCCAGGGTGGTGCTGCTATGGGCTGGGGCTCTGGGTTTCTGCACACTGATGCCGGTGCTGCCGCTGGTGCTGGTGCTGCTGGTGCTGTGCCTGCTGTTACTGCTGCTGCTGCTGCTGCATCCGCTCCTGCTGCTGGGGGGTTGGAGCAGGCACAGCTGCCACAGGGACAGCAAGCACAGCAGCCTGTGCAGCAAGGCGGTTTCTTTGGGGAAGAGAGTGCAGTTGATGCTGCTGCGGCAGCTGCAGCACCAGTACAAGCACCAGCAGCAGCAGCGGATGCTTCTGCATCAGAAGCAGCAGGAGAGGCGGGAGGCTTTGCCTCGTGGGCTGCGTTTGATGCTGCTCCTGCTGCTGCTCCAGCTGCAGCCCCTGACGCTACTCCTGCTGCTGCCAGTGCAGCAAACGCACCTCCTGCCGCTGCTGCACCTGGTGTTTCACCTGAAACCGCTCCTGCACAAGCAACAGCAGCAGTGGTAGGTGGTGTTGAGGAATCATCCGCTGCTGCTGCTGGAGGTGGTGGTGCTACAGCAGCGCCATCTGCAGAAATGGTATGTGTGATTCAGTTTTTCCTTTTCGTGGTTTTTTTCCTCCCTTTTCCCTCAGCAGCCCTGTTTTCTTATTTTCTTTTCATTTCTTTCTTCTTGTCGCATTCCAATTGAGTCGATTGAAAATGCCAACTCTCATGCCATTCCATTCCCTTTGCCCGTCCAGACTTGGAATGCCTTCGGCGACGAGACAGCACAGCCACCACTGCAGCAGCAGCAGCAGCCAAGGATAACAGAGAAAACCGCCTCTGCTGCTCCAGCGTCATCGGCAGCAGCAGGAGGGGGAGCAGCAGGTGCAGGAGCAGCAGCAGGTGCAGCTGCCCCTGCAGCAGCACCATCAGCGGCACAAAAGGCAGCTGCAGCACGTGCCGCAATCCCAGAGGTACGCAACGCACCCCCCCTCACCATTCATGCCTCCTTCCTCTTTGCTTTCTCCTACACCTACCTGTGGCTCTCCCCTGCCTCCTATCTGATTTCTCCCCTCCCTATTCTGCCCCCTTCCGCTCTTACTGCCTGTTCAATCCTTGCATTTATTGACTCCCCTCCCCTCCTCTTTCCAAACTTTATTACCACCTCCCCTCAAGACCAGTCTTCTTTAATGGTTACTGCTCCCCCCTCACCTTTCCCCTTGCCCCAACCCCTCCCAACTCACCTTCCGCCTTGCAACCTCCCCTCCCCCCACCTTGCCCCTTCCCCTCCCACCCCCCGCGGTACTTCCTCACCGCTTTCTCCCCGCTCTTGAAGTCGAAAGCAACCTTCCTTACATCAGTCGTTCTCCACATGCCTTAAACACCCCCCGCCTCCCACCCACCTCCTCGTTTCCCTTGCCCCCCCGTGTCCCCTCGCCTCCCCTGCCCCCCTTGCTCCCTCCTCTCCCCGCCTCACCCCTCCCCATATCAGGACTTTTTCACCAACCTCCTCCCAGCGCCCACAGTAAAGAACGACCTGCCCTATCTTGGGGGTTATGCCGCCCCTCCTGCCCCCGCCCCTGCTGTCACCGATACAAGCTCACTCGCGTTCGGATCGCCGGGAACAGTGGCTGCTGCAGCTTCTGCTTATGGGGCATACGGGCAGGTATGGAATGTGCTGGGGCAAGGCAAGGAGTATCAAATGGTGGAGTGGAGGAGAGGAAGGTGGGAAGGAATGGGCGTGAGGGTTAAGGGTGTGATAAACAGATTCAAGAACACTTGCAGTAGGATCACCTGTAACAGTGGCTGCTGCAGCATCTGCTTATGGGGCATACGGGCAGGTATGGCCTGGGGTGGGGCACGGCGAAGGAGGATGTGGTGGGGGTGTTTGGGGAAAGGGTGGGGGACCAAGACTATTAGAGGATACTAGACCAAGACTTTTAGACCAAGACCAAGCTTTTCCTGTATCGAGGATGAAAGTGGGCTGTTGTGCTGCATCCGCAGGTGGGGCTTATGGGCAGGGCAGGTGCAGAGAGGTGGGGATGGGTTCCGCACCCTGATACCGTTATCATTTTCCTTGCACACATTACTGCACCCTTCTTTACTCTCTCTCGTCCCTTTATGACATCTCTCTACACTGTTCTGACCCTGCCCCCCTGCAGCCTCAAATGTCCGCGTTGGGACTGCCGCCCCAAGCCATGGACTTGCCGCCCTACCAGATGGGAGGACCCGCTACAGGACAAGCCATGCCGTCCGCCTATGATCAATTCCTCTCCACCACAGCAGCCGCCCCTCCTCCTTTCCCCGGTGCCCCTGGTGTTGCTGCTAGTCTCGATGCCTCTGGTTTTGGTGCTGCTGCCAATGGTAGCAGTGCAAATTCAGCAGCAGCAGGAGCACCAGCAGCAGCAGCGGCAGCAGCAGCCAAGTCGACCAATCCGTTTGCCTTTGATGATGACGACGAGGAGGACACTACGGCCCCTGCTGCTCCTCCTGGTGCTGCTACGGGTTCTCAGGTGACTTTATCTTATCCTCCTCCCATCTCCTCCACCTTTCTCCTCGGTTCACCCTGATTTCTACCTTCTCATCCCTGCTCCATCCATGCTGCTCTTTCCCATGGCTCCCTTGGGGGAACCCCACATTCGTGTATCATCCCTGCATCATCCTTGCAGCGTTTGTCAGTGACCCCTTTTTATGCCTCTGCCTGGTTCAGTGACCTGCTTTCAGAACCCGGGCCAACATTTTCTCATCACATTGATTGCTGTGATTGTTTGTCCACTGCCATTCACGCATGGTCTCACTGCCTCTTTCCAACCCCTGTGCGCTGCTTCACCTCATTGCCTCGTTTTCCTTTCCCTTCCCCCTCTCCCCACTCGCTCCGCTGTAGCCATTCTCCATGGATCCGATGGCTACTGCTCTCCCTGGCGGTTATTTTGCCCCTCCTGGCACCGCTGCTGCCCCTTTCCAGTCCCCTCAGCAGCAGAATCCTGCAGGTGAGACTTGTCTGTGCTGTCCCGAGTTTTTTGTTTGTTTGTTTGTTTGTTTGTTGGTTTTTTTTGTTTGCCTGAAGCTGCGCACAGCTTTTGACTAGGTGTAACCCTCCAGGTGCCCGTCCCACCAGCAGCCATGCCATGCAGCTCGGTGGCATACTGTCTTATTGTTTTCCGGTTTCAATTTTCTCTGGCCCCCCCCTCCCATTCCCCACCCTGCCTCCGCTCTTTCCGTTCCACCATCGCCCTGCATGTGCCCCCTTTCCAGCCACCCCATTCGCACATGGACCAGATCTCACCCCACAACCCTCCGCCTTCTCGCCCTCCACTCCTCCGCAACCCTCCGATCCGTTCGGTGCACCTCACCCCGTCCAACAACCTCAACCTGGTCTGGCCGGACCTGCCGGTGGGTTCGGAGGTGCCACGCCTGGAGGGGGCGTGAGTGTGTCTGCTGATCTCTTGGGGCCGGGGTTCGGTTGGGGGGAGCGGGAGGTGGGGGAGGGGGGAGGAGGAGCAGTGGGAGGGGCAGGTGGGGTAGGGCATAACCAAATGCATTCTGCTGCGATGGGTGGTGGTGGTGGGATGTCTGCGTCGATTGATTTCGGTTTCCTTGGAGGTGGTGGTGGTGGTGCAGCCTCTGGGCTTGCCCCCGGTGCTGCGGGGGGTGGTGGGAACTTCGGATTAGCGCCTGCTACTGCAGGAGCAGCACCAGCAGGAGGGTCCTCTATGGATCCCTTTGCATCCCTAATGCCGACCGGAGCATCAGCTGCTAGTGCTCATCCACCTGCTTCTGTTGCGGGTGCACCTGCGGCTGCTCCTGCATCCTCTTTTGATGGTTTCTCGTGGTAGACATTGCACCTGCTATGTATTCTGGGTAGGAATTAGATATCATGACCCTAATGAGTCTGGTTAGCATAGTTACCCTGCTTGCCGTTCGCAACTGTGGTACAGTAGTTTAAATCTTGGGCTTGTATGTAGGCAGTTAGTGTTTGCGTGTACTCTTCCTTCAGTGTATGAGACATTGCTTACAATGACAGTGACACACCCTTGCCAGCCTGGGAAAGGGCGAAATTTCGCCAGAACTGTCATGTGTGCTGGTAGCTTCTCGCGATGCTATTGGTCAAATCCACGCTGGTGTTGACCTGCTGGCCCTTGCAGCTCCTTTATTGGTTGGGTGGTTAGCCGAGACTCGGTACTTCGCGAGCAGTTTCTACTTTGAGCCATCGCTGCTGGCAAGGGCTTTCGCAAACATTTGCGAAGTCAAGCGAACTACGCGAGCACGTCAGCACACCATCCCAACCACACGCTTCCCCCGCTAACCGACCTGCCACCATGCTGGAAACCAATCCATAAAGCGTTGTGATTTTCCTTGCTGGACATTTCCCATCTCGCGTCGCCATTTCCAGGAAAAACGAGCCCGCCCTAATCGATCGTGGAAGCAAACCTGCCTTCCCTCTCCTCCTCCTCACTCTCATGTCGCACTACACCATACCACAACATATCAAACCACAGCAAAACCATACCAAATCCCTCGCTCTCCCCTCTCCAGACACCTACCATTTCATTCCAACAACCCTCCCGCTGCTCCCTCTTCACCTCGTTCTTTGTTGGGCTCTGCCTTCAGAATGGCTCCAAGCAAGCATAAGAGGTAGTTTCGATTGCCATTTCTCCTCGATCTTCCCCACTCATCAAACTCCATTTCAGAGCTTTCCGCTAAGCCGGGCTTCCTACACTGGTCTCCAACGCCGTTACTACTCATCTAATCGCAAATCGCTCACGCAGATCCCATCACGCTCAGCCGCCTCGCCATCGGCCCTTACTCAGAGGAAGCCATTTCCATAGTTCGATCACGCGACGGTCGTCGGCGACATCTGAACGAGTCCTGCTCGCTCGACGAACTGAAAACTTCAAGAAACTTCGTCACAGAGTCAGGAACCGAGTTCGGTCGGTACAAGTGCACCCGCCGTCAAAGCCGCATCGAAAGCTCAGAAATCGAAAAACGTCGAGATTTTCCATGGCAGACGAGGCAAAGGCCGCTCCGTCGAGTTCTTTCTCGATCGCTGAGGCGCGCAAGTGGGTGGGGGAGAACAAGCTACGTACAGTCGGAGGACTGTGGGCCAGCGGCATCGCCGGGTCGGTGCTGTACAACATGCGGAAACCGGGGGAGAGAATGAGCGTCAAGATCATCCACGCGAGGTGAGCCATCCAATCTCAGCGTGCATTTTTTGTTTTGACTCAAAGCGGCACGCCGGGTAGGTGCTGTACAAGATGCGGAACCCTGGCGAGAAGATGGGCGTCAAAGTCATTCACGCGAGGAGGGCAAGGACCTCAGTGGGGCGGCATTGGTTGTCGACCGTCAAGTCTACAGGAGTCGGGTTTGCGAGCTGCAACGGTTTAGGGTGCATCACAGGATCCGGTGCGCTCTGTCGTGTGCGGTTGCTGTGAACGTTTGAGCAAGAGACTGTTAAACCTTCTGGAGACACTGGAGCGGTTGTAAACGTGACGGCTGAGTCGTCTTACTCAATCAAGTCCTCCCGCGCCCTGATTTCCCTGTTCGTCGCAGGTTGCACGCACAGGCTTTCACGTTGGCTGCGCTGATCGCTGCTGCTGGCGTGGAGTACTGGGAGCAATCGTCCAACCCTTCCACGAAAGAGGCGCGGCACCCGTTGTAGCATCAAAACCGGCTAATCATTTTCGAGCTATGCAGGATGGTGCATTTTCGAGCGATGCAGGATGGTGCATTTTCGAGCTATGCAGGATGGTGGGCATTTTCGAGCTATGCAGGATGGTGCATTTAGAAAGCAACTGCTCCCGTGCAGAACTATGGTGCCGACAGAGGGAGCTGGTACACTCAAGCTGAGCGTCCTTGCTCCCATGGGTCGGGCCTATTGTATGTGTTCACGCCATGGGCGTGTTTGCTACATCCGCCCGTTACAGTAGCATTATAGCAGGGAGCGGGTGCTTGCTGCTAATTGTCCTTGAAAGTGCCACTCAACACCATCAGTCCTTATTGGGTGCCTGATTTTATGTAATAACCAGTGCTTTCTACTCTCCTGCTAGTCTCGGTCGGAGAGCTTGGTAGTCCTGTACACATCTATGCAGTTGAATGGTGGTGATTGCCCTTTGTTATGAATTGGGAGCACCAGATGGGGCTGTGGACGTGACAGTGTGTGCACTTCATATAAATACTTTTGCAGCTTGCAATGTTATGGTGTGGATTCAACATCATGTTATGTAAAGAAGCTGAAAGTAATCGTGGAGCTCGCTATCTGGTTACTGGTAGTTTTAGGAGTTCGCTGCGACTATACAGCCCCAGCCCTTGCTCCATTGAAGTCACTGTACGTTCTCTCCATCAGCCATGATGCCTGCCTGACAATTATTTCTAATTTATCAATCAGACCCTGAAAGTGGATGTGATTTGTCAATCCCCAAACGGGATGATTTCTCAAAGCTCAGAGCTGAATACAAGCAAGAACACGATATATAATAAAGTCCGTAACATGAGGAGCTCCATATAACTTTGTGTTTAGTCGAACTGTATCGACAGCACAGCACTAGTGAGTACACGACCAATCAATCACCTTCTACCTGTTGCCAGAAGTAACAGGCGCGTTTTCTGTTCTTTGATTGGGCAACTGACGTTTAGGTGCGTGGCGCAATTGGTTTGTTGAAGTGTAAGCGTGGAAAAGCAACCAATGAAACAACATCTGTCGAACCTACAGCCATATCATGACGAATTGTGTTGAAGCGGCCGCAAAAAGCTGGGCCACGATCGTTGCTTATTGGCTGGGTTAACCCAGCTGGGCGGTCTGAAAGTTCCCGAGCCAGCAGCATCCGCTATGCCCCAAAGTTGCACGCAGGACAATTTGGTGGTTCACCCGGCGAAGATTGGTGGTTTGGGATAGTGCATAGTTAAGATTTCGTCTTTTTTTTAGGGCGGGCTCGAGCCTGTGAACAACCTCAGCAAAATTGAACAATATGAACGAACTTCTGGTATTCGGCAGCATGTGAAAGAGATCTCCTGTTGATATTTGCTTGTGAAACCTGTTTAGAGTATTTCCACAGGGAAATTGTCTGACAGGGAAACCTCCACACACATTCACCCCTACACACACGACTTCCAACTTTTCCCCGCCTGCATCCAACCTTACCGAACCTTTAGGGCGTGGAATCCCCGCCGCAAGTTACGAAGCGCGTGCAAGGGCCTGCCTGTCCCGTTCTGCTCCTCTTCACACACGGACAATAACCTTTTTGTTATCTTTCGCGGATGATTAGCAAAACCCCTGTTGCGCTCTTTCCACATGGTCCCTCAATCCCGCCGGCCCATGTGATCCTCCTTTCTACGGCGACAGCACAGCAGAACTGCTGCCGCAATATGTGGCGCGTGCTTCTCCAATGATCGCTCACGTGGCGCACAAGCACAGATAAAAAGGCGTGCACCTCATTCGCTGCTCCAGCATTTAATTACACCACGTGAACCTCCCAGGCCACTTGCGGCCACTAGATCTCCGAAAAGCTTGGGCCCACGAGAAACTGACGCTCTAGGAGAAATGGCAGCACCCGAATCGCGTTGCTTGTGATTCGGCTTTCTCTGGAAATAGCGGCGCCGAGAAGCTGCAGCAATACGGAAGCCACGTGGCAGCGTACTTACCACGACCAGGAAGAGCTCAGCCAAGATAAGATGCTTCTCCCGATCTTTCCCGTCGACTACCCCCCCACTGAACGTAAATATGCTCCATATTCACTCCCTCCGTACTTAATACGTAATCTCAATCCTTAGCCTGTCCAAAATCCGCGGAGATCTCGATATCTTTGCTCCATTCACACAAGCATTCCGAGGACACGCGGGCGCCCACAGCCTAGCACCCTCGCTTTAGGCCTGAGCGTGCACCAGCGAGAATAAGGAGTCTCACTTCAGCACTGGCCGTCGCCATTTTCGATTGTTGCGATTTTGCTAGCATCTAAGACCCTGCATTGTGAATCGCTTCTACATACTCCAAGTCCGAGTCGCCGTAGCGCCTGTCGCTTAGTACGGAGCTATACTAAGCCTGCCGCATTCGGAGTCCTCAGAACTGCGCCTTACCGTTGGCGAATCCACCAGCTACCATCATCTTCGTCCGCACCTTGCGATCGTCTCTAAACACGAACAAGCGAGACACATTTCCTTTCCAGAACGACTAGTGCTAGTCCGTGATGGCTACTGCGCGAGTGATGGCCCTTCTTCGCCCGCGCCGGCTTACGTGGCCGCAGATGCTTCCGCCCGTGGCGATTCTGACGTCACTATCCATCTGATCACGCCCCGCCGTCAGCGCCGCGTCGTCGTTCAACGACGAGTGTACCTCTGCGGCCACCGTCGGTTCTACCCATACCGACCTCGGCTTCTGTCGACAACGTTCTTTACCGCGAAGCGCCGCGTCTCGCACTGCGCGGCGCCGAGCTGCTGCTACAAACGGCGAGACGTCAACAGCTTCCATTGTTATTAATGCCCGGCGAATGGCTCAAGACGGGGAGCCTTTGCCTCCACTTTCCAGCGCCCTTTGAGGGAACGCGGTGCCTCGTCTCCCGGACAGCGTCGAAATTCCACCTCAACGGAGATTCTCGCCATTGCTGACAACTGTTCGGGCAGCAGCGTCATGCGAATTCGTCTGATGGAGATTTTCAGCGAAATGCTACTACCTACGCAAGACCTGCTGGGAGCACGACGGAGGGATTGCGCGATCTGGAAGTGCTTGAGCGGCGGTGTGCTAAGTACATCAGGTATGCGTGTACGAAGAGGAGGGCTTTCGGAAAGAAGAGCCGAATTACTCATAAATCCTGCGGCGGAATCGCAGGAATGGCGCAGTGAAGCG